TAGTAATCAAAAAGCATGTATAATTAACTGAAATCATGAAACTTTCACAATTTAATATATTATTAAAATTTTTACAATAAAGGGCCCTATGATTGATTGATTTTTCAGAATTTCTGTGTTGTCTGTTTTAATTTTCTATAATATATAACTTTATACAAGTTTATATTATTATCAAAAAGGTCATATTAATTGATGTGAAGTAATGGTAACGGTAGTATGATAGTTGAGTTTGTCACCTGGAAGCTGTATTTGACGCTGTATCCGGAGCGCCGTATCCGCACCGTCTCCAGCATGCCGCTGTAGCGTAACTGTCTCAACACCAGCACGTCGCTGAAACGCAGAGGAAGCTACGAAAGAGAGACGGGACTCAAACGCACGTCTAAATCCAGTAATGCAGAAACAGAAACGTGACTCATTACGAACCTTTTCCGCATTAGAGCGGATGCATTTGACAAAGTACGGCTCGGACTGTCCCAGAGTCTCCATCAGCTTGTTCAGAGACACCTGCATCACACACAGGACACCAGTTCAGCTCTCCTTTCAAACATTTAGATATCTTATGTATTTTGTAAAAAGTACACAATTTTTGCATTTTTAAAATGTATAAAATTTTTAAACAATTACTGTATATATTTCAAAATAATTAATTTATATATATATATATATATTGGGTTCTTTATTTGATTAATTTTTTTTATTCCACACACTTTTGTATATTTTTAAAAAGCATATATTAAAACAATAATACAAATACCGTATACATTTCAAAGATAATGTACATTTTAAAAAGAATTAATTTGTATATTTCATACATTTAAAAAAATATTTTTAAATAACATATTTTGTATTGTTTTTAACAACTGCACACATTTCAAAAGGACGTATATTTTAGAATAATTCATATTTTAAAATGTACATTAGTTATATTTCATACATTTTGAAAGTTTCATATTAGATTTTTTCAAACTACATCTTTTTAAAGAAGCGTAGAATACATTTCAAAAGAATGTATATTGTCTTAAATAATTTACATATTTTTCAAAATATATAATTTTCATTAATTATGTATTTTGAAAATAATTGATGCATTTTTCCGATGCATAATATATTTTTTAAACAATTATTGTTTGCATTTCAAAAAGGTATATATTTTTTATATAATGAATTTATATATAAAAAAAATTTTTTTATATATTTTTTAAATGTACATCATTTTTAAACAACTACTGTATATATTTAAAACAATGTATATATTTTTAAAATTCCATTTTAAATTTAAAATTGTAGTTTTATATAGAATCACTGCGAAATAACATTTTGAGAGAATATGTATTTTTTAATTGATATATTTTTAAAATGTACATTCTTTAATATTTCACACATTTCAAAAGTTGCTATTTTTAAACGGCTGCAGTGTTATTTCTCCATCAGTGTGCTTTGCTGACGTTGAACTGCGCGCTGATGCTGGGAGGCTTCTTCTTCTTGTGCAGATGCAGCAGTGATTTGGTGATGCGGTCGTGGAGCGTCAGGCCGCTCAGATACTTCAGTGATCTCACATCCAGCAGGTGCTGCAGACACACAGCACTCATTTCAGATCAACATTCGGACAACCTTGCATCATAGTGCCATTCTTTTATTAATGTATAAAACCTACATACATTTCAATAA